TACAATAACTCCACACATTTAACCCCGAAGTGGTAGCTCTGCCTACACACACATTATTGCACTTAATACCACTGTACAATGTAACACCCACTTTTCACTGTTTATGTTATGAGTTCCATGTAATGGGGGTGAGCCTATTGAAGTATACCGGACACAATTACAGACTCCGTGCTACTACTGAGATTTTTATGAATTATTAATTTTTAACTGATCAATTGATTGATTTTGAATCTGATTTTGATTGCCATATGCAATAGGCTCGTCCCCAATTACATGGGCCTCATAACATAAATAGTGAAAAGTGGGTAATACACTGTACAGTGGCAACCTACCCCTTCGGAGATAAAAGGCGTGATGTTATGTTATGTAATTCATAAATTAAACAATTAATCAGTCATAAAATTTTACATCCATTATTAATAAACGAAATAAATGTAGCCAATAATAACATGTAAATCAATCGCATTATTATAACACAAATATTTACTTAACCGTACATATGTTAGCAATACTAACCTGTAATTATCTTTTTATCGTGGATTATGATTAAATTCCCTATATAGCTTACATTTACAACGACAAATTTTAAAAGAGGCCGACGCCGACGGGACGCCGCGCCGCGACCCGTAAAATTATAGAGTACTGTAGACATGATTGTGACTGTTGTTTTTAGAGTGGATTAATATAATTTATTGCTCAAAGCCTCTTATGCCAAACATATTATGACAGTCTACAATTTAAAATGTAATAGTATTGTTATGATAATTTAAAGTAAATACTTTTTTTATAGGAATTGACTACCGCAACATATAGTTCTTCTCTACACAATTTTAATGATCAATTTTTCTTTATGAATTGTAAACAATCAATGATAATAAGCATTTATTAATAAACAACAGCTATAAAACAATAGACAGCGAAAATAAAATAAATAGACAAAATTAACCTTATAATTGCTAACTGATTTGAACCAGCTGGTCAAACTGAACCATTGTCATTTTTTGATTTTGTTCTTTTTCAGTATTCACTGAGCGTTCCAATAGCTATTTTAATTGAAACATTTTCGAAATGACGTGTGTTTTGTAAAATCTGTTCCTTCTCATCGTGAATTGTAATTACCGATTAACTCAGTCGGATAATTACATTAATTAATGAAACCGTAACCATTTTCAGTTCAAAATACCCATGAAATGTGTGAAATTAAATAAATCGTGTAGTGATAAATGAATAGTTGTTGACAATTACTAGCGTTACATTGAAGCAGAGTGACAGTCATAGCAGTACATTGGTCGGTAGTACAAGCGCACTAAACAAATAGTAACAGCATCACATCCCAACAAGCTGACGGGATTGTTATTAAGATTGACACGTTATCGATGGCAAATGACTCGCAAATGAAATTTCGTTGATTCAAAGCTCATTTGTGAAGTGCATGGATGCCAGCGTATCAGTGGCCGCGAGTAGCAAGGGAATGGAAACGGTTCGCATTCGACAGCGGTGGAATGCTTTCAACTCGCGTAATTCAGTTAAACGAGTAATTTATGACTGGCCAAATTACTGGCATCACTATGTCCGACTATCTGACACAGGAGTCCCACTATTAATGCGATTTTATGTAATGTCATTGTATGTTTAAATGTTTCATGAAATGTGAATTTTAATTAAGATTATGTTACGTAATAGCTGTAACTGAAATATTGAGTCTTATATTATTATTTATTACTTTTATTACTATTATATAAAGGTTAAGAGTTAAATAGATATAAAGCTGTTGGATAGTGCACTTACCGAAGAAGGCTATAGGCTATAAAACATCACGCTACGACCAATAGGAGCCGAGCATAACGTGTGAAACCGCGCGGAAGTAGCTGGTCACTCCATATTTAAGAGTAGCCGTTATTATTATAATAATATCACTAATCACATTAAATGGCGTTATTTACTGATAATATTTGTATGTCCAGATTTTGAAGTTTATCTCAAACAATTCTCTTATTCAATAATAAAAAATAGGTAAAATTAGTCGAAACTAGTATTTCGTAGCACTACCGTAGCACCACCGTAGCACACGTAGCATTGCGCTACGCACACAGCCTAATATTTCCAACACACAGTGAAATAATGAATGGAGTACTTTGTAGTCTTAAACAGACTGATCAGTTATACAAGTAGGCTAATTATTTGTAAATAGCACAAAAAGGAATGCCTTTTAATAACGTCCAAGGGGTGAGCAGAAGCGGTAAATTCAAAGTTGCATTCCGTCATTTATGTTAGAGGTATAATGAGTGAACTCATCTAAAGTATGTATAACACTTTTTAAATACAGAGAATGACTTAAAAATAAAGTAGCAAGATCACTTTTTAGAGCTAGTTTAGGCACTGTAGGCAGAAACCTAGTATAGATAGAAGTCCGGTGAGTGATTTAGCCTGGTTTTTTCTTAAACCACGTGCATGAAGTCGTAAGTATCACTAGTACCATATTCACATCCACACAAGTTTCTATTACATCTTAAGTTACATCCACGTTTAAATTCCAAGTGAACAATAAATAAAAAATAAATCTTTTTGCAGTCAAAGTAATAGATCGCGGGTTTTTTTTTTGTTCAGTTTCATGTAATGTGAGTATGTGATACCGTAGTTGTGAATGTTTCTCAAACATCAATTCAACAGTTATTTGGTTTTCGATATAAAAAAACCCAACATGATACCCGTTTTAATTTTCTCAGTTATTTTGTATATGCAAAATTATTTAAAGCGTATCTCGGAAACTATTAAAAGATTTGAATAATTATATTTTTGTACTGAAATAAGGACTTGCTCTTTAATTTCCACAATTGACAGCTACAAAACTAAACAGTAGGAGAGTTTATGTCCTTCTAATTGAACAAACACTTTTCCTTTCAAGGTATAATGCATACATATATTACATCGTTCATAATATTATACCTGTAGAATAGGTCAATACTAGATAAGTATTACTCAAAGCAATATAAAGATGTGGAATTCATAAAGGAATACACAAAAAACAGAAAAGCAACGTACATTTTCTTAGAAACACGTTATTTGATGATGAATTCGTATATAAGTGGATGTATATAATAGGTGTTGTTCAATTTGGTCGCCGCCCACCGTCAGTCTTACAGTACTGAATGATATAATTCAAGATTTCGGGCAAACCGACATACAGCCTCAAGATTTATGTAAATTAATACAGTTACTTGTACCTACCTACCTACACATACGTTGAACATCACTATCACATAAATTAATCTTGGAATTATTATTTCAAAGTAATAAAAAATATACCGTGGATATATGCTCTCAATCTTATTTTTATTCAAGCAAAGTACAATGGGGATGATGACAGGGTATGAAAATTAAAAATATAATTAGTCCGTAACTTAGGTAATAAAAAAATATTAGACACGTATTTTTTTATTTTGTTGTATAATAAAACAATACTTAGATAAAACGAATAAAAGTTTAGGAGTGGGGGCTAAAACGTCATTTCTTAGTATAAAATGTACTGAGAAGTGACGTCACGCGACATTTCAAATCAATATATCTTCGAAACTATTCGTTTCCGTAAGAAAATAAAAAATACGTGTCTAATGTTTTTAAATAATCTACCAGACGGACATTAAAATAAAAATTAGTCGTCTACCCCATTTCGATTAAAGAAAAAAGCTTTTTAATATTTTCTACATTTTAATGATCGTTTTGCATTTGCATCAAAACTTTAATTTAACTATTAAGTATAATAATAATTACTCGAAATGTTGTTTTTTCTAATAGGTTAATAAGTTCAAAAAAATAGTATAGTTAAATATGCAAACGAGGAATTCCATTATATTTTATATTATATTCTTGTACATTACGAATTTATTATATACTTTTAATAATTATCGGCCTACTAAATAATGTAATTATTGGTACAGAAACAAAATTTTATTTTGGCTTTCCACTTATTTATATGATACGTAAGTATTTTATTCATATAAATCTCACCAAAACGCTAACCCACCCACAGTTGAATAATTTAAACAACTTCAGAGAAAAATCTGCGTTATATTTTACTATTGCTCATATTACTTCAAACTAAAAAGGGTGTGCAGGCACTACCACCCCGCGGGTATTAAAGTTAATGTAAGTATATCAGTTCAATACTTAATTAAATTTGTTTTAGATAATCGTCCTATTTAAAAATAATCTTTATAAGCTTTCAAAATTAATTATAAAGGTACACCTTTATTATTTTGATTATTATTTTATTCTGTATTATTTTCATTCTTTAATTTTATTTCTCTCTCCTCTTTATTGGTTTGTTGCCCACATTAATTGTAAATATCGAATAAATATTGATTTAAAATATGTTTTGTTCATTAACTTTAATTTTTTACAGTTTCAACTTCATGATTTCTAATTAAGTATCTTATTTCATTCAGTGTAGCAAAGTTTTTTTACATGCGTCCCAGAGAATAATTTCTTAATTTAACAGATAACTCGCAGTTTTAATATGTGTTCTATATGTTATTTATATCTACAAACATAAGCGTACGTCATTTTTGATAACCTCTATTATATGAAACATTAATAACAGGATAGATATACACAACACTCGCTTACATACGTTTTAAACCCTCTCAATTAACCATTCGTTAGGATACAATTTGATTTTCAGGAAAACGACTTGTATGTCCTGTCAAAAGTTTCTTCATAAGAGAAAACAATTTGAAAAGTAACAAAAACTGCTATCGATTCGTTGTAATATATAATACATAACAAAGTTTTAGAGTTACTTCTAATACTATATACTTATTATGCATGTGCATATAACGTAAAAATGTGATGTATAAATGAACAGACGATATTTTAACAGACGATTTATCCATGCAGGTTGCCACCTGTATGCCTGCTTTACAACTATGCCTAGTTGAAAAGTTAACATTTTTATTTTTTCGTATAGTGGTGCCTAAAAAGAAGTAAAAGGTATCAGTTACCTGAATTAGTGAGTGTGTTATCACCAAGTCCAGTGGACGTATCAACATCAGGATGTGCTTCAGCAGCGACAGAAGTGAGCAGCGCGCATGCCCACGCGCATCCGGCTAACAACAGCCATGCGCAATTAGTGTACTGTCGTCGCCTAGCCATATCACATCACCAATTAAATATCGTTTTAAATATCTTTACACAAAAAAAAACTAAGCTTGAAAAGTTTACTAAAGTTATTAAAACTAAAGTAACTTTATTTTCAACATTCAAAAGTTACTTTTAGCTATTGCATTCATTAAGGAAGTTCGAAAAACAACGGCAGATTCGTGAAAATATAGTAGTGCACAGCCGAGTCGGCAGCGACGGCGGCGTGGGTTGCGTTGCGTGCGACGGCAGCGTGGCGACGTGGTCGCGGCAGAACTGTCCGCGGCTGCACATCGCGGTCGCGACCGGCTCCTTTGGAGTCGCAGCGTCTCACACCCGGCCACGAGGAGGGCCGTTGCGCGCGCAGCCACCTCGCCAACCAATGGCACTGCGGGGGTGGGACCGCGCGTAAGACGCACGGAAGTATATGCGAAGGCCTATGTACAGATGATAGCGGACAGGTGGTTTCGCGGCCGTAATTAGGCTTCTGATAACTTATTGCTACATAAATATGCTTAAACGCTGGACGATTAAGATAGCGCCCGAAACCATGTCGAAGTACCGACCCTAGTCGCGGCTGTTTTACCTGCCAATTTACCTTTCTGCAATGTTATGTACTTTTAGGGTAAATTGTAATATTCCTGAATAAATTTTAAGATACTGCTGTAAGACTCAGCTTAACTTGTTAAATATGTCTGAAGTGTACTTTCCCTTTTTTCGTGGTCGGCTACTCGGGTTTTAAGCGTTATCGTTAATTTTAAACTTCTAAGTGATCAATAAGTTGCCAGTGTAAGTGATTCTGTTAATTCCCAGGTTTGATTCATGAGTCAAAGAAAAGTTATCATTCCTCATACCAGACTACTTTCTCGATGTGTTACTGATTCAGTATCAACTAAAAGTTTCATCCTAGCTAAGTTTTCATTGAATCTGTTTCAAATGAGTAGATAAGCAGAAATACATTTACTAAGTCAAACAGTCAAAATTAGCATACATTATTTAGACATCCTATTTTAGACGCAAACTATCAGATATGAAAGTAGATACTAAAAAATCACAATAAATATCCGAATAATACTATACAATTGAACTTAGAAATAGCAAATAAAAACTGTAGATATAGTTAACTACCTAATTCCAAATGTACGGAGTAACATTAGGTAGACTTTTTATTCTAATTTTCATATGCCTATCCATATACATATATATAAAAAATGACACCCGTTTCCCGTTGTCACGATAGATTTTTTTTGTTGTGTTTGTTATCGTCAGGAGAAGATCCATAGGACAGAAAAAAGTCCCGAAAATCCTAGAGTATTAAGATTTGTAATGTGCACCTCTGTCTATCCCTTCGGGAATAAAAGGCGTGGTGTTATGTGATGCTGTAGTATATTTGTCTCATTGAAAATTATTCAATGTCCAGACACACTTTCCTCACTTTTTTGTTACATGTATGGAAGATATAGATACGTAGGTACTTACATAGTATTATACATTAGGTACTCCTTGAAGATACAAAGGTCAAAGCCACTTGATAAGTATGATAAACGTGACCTTACGTTAAAAATAAATTATAATATTATTATCATTTCTTTGTATAAAAACAGAAAGCAGAAAAACTCTTCTCGAATGTACAACTTTCAAAGTCAAAGCATTTATTTCAATTAAACCATAATTTGGTACTTTTGAAATGTCAACAAATACAAAATAAATAATAGTCTGTCAGTCTATTCGTCAGCGAAGCTAGGTGCTCGTTCCAAAATGTAGATTCGATCGAAGAAGCACGAGTAAGAAACTACATTCGTTACTCTTGTAAAAATAATGTATATATATGTCCTACAAACTCTTTGATACATTATCCAATATTATACAAATATATATAAAATTTTTATTAAAAAATATTAATTGAATAAAGTACTTAATTGCCTTGTCTCACACAATTATCATATTTACTTAGTTTGTCGCATTTAAACATTTCACATAGAAAATACGTTTTAGTTATCCGATCGTTGAACTAATAGGAACTAACTTAATAAGACATTGTTATCTATTTAACAGGCGTGCCTGAATAAAGACTTACCTATGCTGATCACAAGAAAAACACAAGTCACAAAAATTTTAAATTAAATTTTCTATAATAATCATCAGTTTCTTGTAAGATTACAAGTCACTCCAATGTGAGTCGTTATATGTCGTGATTAATTTTATCTTTTTCTCAAATAATTTCATGCACAAGAATAATCAAGTCATGGAATTCGAAGACACCATAAAATCAGTATGTTCTGCAAATTGTCTAATTCAAAAATTGAACATGATCTAGTTTAGATGAATCAAATCAAAGTCAAGGTTAAGGTTTTGGAAATATTGTACAAAATATAAAGTAGAAAAAAGGAATTAATTTTGAAATATTTTTATGGAAAACCCAACTGCGAAAAATTACTTTCAATAAATAAATTAAAATTGCTAGTACTTTACGTAGGTAAAGTAAATAAAAGTGTAGGTGTTGAGGTCAACACCTACACTTTTCTCTATAATTTCTATTCTTATTAGGTAATAAGAACAGAAATTTATAGACACTAAACTCGTACACCGCGAAGTAAGTACCCCTTTTTTTCATGTTTTCCCTTACTAATTTTAAATCCAAAGGTTTTTTGTTTTTAGAGCTTCGCATTAATATATATATTGTATGTTAAAAGTTATATGGAATTTCAACTCAACCTTAGATCGATCCAGATAGCTTGGATTGAGATCCAACGAAACCTAACTAGCATTTCACATTTGGCTGTTTTTACGAACAAGAATTTCTAATTAAATCTACATTTCGTCGAAGGATTAATAATAACAAATAGTAATAATAGTAATTAATGTCATTGTATAGTTTCTACATACAATTCAAATATAATTATTATAGAAATTTAAATTTCCTCATTTTTCACCATTACGATTATACACAATTGTACTATTGTTCCAAACGATTGCCAACTACAATATAAGTGGTAAGCTTGTGGTAAAAGAAACAATGTAGAATAATATAAATGGGTATTTACATACTATGAATAACAATTATGATGAGTACCTATATTATTTCCTTCTATTAAGCGCAATATGTACACGTTTCATTCTACTTAGTTAATAGGTAAAGTTAAATAGAATGAAAAACCGTGAATAACAATTAATCAAGTGATTCTCTAGAGTACCTAAGGAAAATATAATAGTCAAGTAATGTAAAGGGTACGATGGGGCTGACAATGCTGACATATCTGTGATAAAAGCACCTAAAAAGTTTGTTAGAATAAAAAAAATTAAAAACCGTATCTGACCGAAACTTGTAGTGACAACGTTTTTCAACTTAGGAACGGTATAATACCAACGCGTTTGCTGTAAATCCAGTTAGTCTTTATAATTTATTCCAGACTATAACATACATACCTATTTCTGGATTTCAGAAACATGTGCTCAGGAATTATTGTTCTCGGAATCTTTTGCATTTACAATACAAATACCTATGAAAAGTTTTTAAAGGGAATCGAAAATACTTAATATAAATTTCATATTAAATACTAAGCATGATCGATATCTAATCTTGCAAGTGATGGAGTCTAGCAATACGTGCCTATGTTTTACATCTCAAATTGGTCAATTTTTTTGGGTGGCAAAACGCCAACATTCCAGGAGCTCAACCAAAGGAAAGCATAAACAGGATAATCCTTACATTTATTATAATATTATAACACCTTCTTCTCTCCATGTTCACTCTGTCTATTACTACTTTTTCCAGAATTTGGATAATTTCTTGGCAGGGAAAAATTCAATACCCGAGGCAGTACAAAATGCCTTTGAAGAATTTGTTGCCTTCCGTCCAACTGTTTTCTTTAAGAAGGGCCAATCAATAAACTGCCAATGCTTTGGCACAGATGTAATCATTGCAGGGGTGATTTCTTCGATTAATACCTCATCGAGTACCGTCACTATAGACACAATTATAGAACAATAGGTTGCGGTCACCGGTGACCGCTTGGTGTTTGACAGTTTAATAAAAAATACATCAAATATTCGTTTAAATTTTTTCATACAAAATGGCAATTTCATAGGTTTCAGTTCACGAAATGCGTAACAAAAATTACTGCTCAACAAATCAATCCCGTCAAGTAGTACCAATCGTGTCACCTAGGCGCATGCACGCTACAAAATAAACTTATAAACAAAAAAAGTACACTGTAAAGATGGCCACATGCTCCATAAAATTATAAAAAAAAAAAATAATAAACATCTTTATTTTCTCAAAAATACTCTACGGATACAAATTATATAATATGTTACAATTAAGAGACTGGTGTCTGTTAAAGGTATAACCTGTGTTACAGATCACCAGGCCCGGGTGACCCCCGGAGACATTGAACAATATAAAGTATTTACTTAATTAAAGAAAAAGGACAACATTGTATGAGTGTGTGTGTGTGTGTGTGTGACTGTGGGTGTGTAACAATGTAGTGTGAGTGCGTGTATATGTGTATGTAAGTGAGTGAGTTGATGTGTATTATGTGTGGGTATGTATAGGTAAGTGAATGAGGTGGAAGTGTTGATATGAAATTAGAGTATTATTATCAAAAATATGTTAATTTTGAGAGTGAGATAATTTTAAAATCAATTACATTTATTTTACTAGTCCGATAAGTAAGGAAGTAAATATGGGAGTCACCTAGAAAGTTTTCCGAGAGTTTTGAAAATCGGCAATTTTGTAGATTTTGATATGCTGTTTTCGATTACCGTTTTGCACTTGTACGTGCACCGCTCGCGCCGCCACCTTGGAAAAATAGCGGCCAAAAACTGTTTTTTGCAATAAAACTGTTTCTTGTGCATTTTATGAGGTAACTACAAAAATAAACTACTCTCAGTTTTCTATAATTTATGTCTGAACAGCTACAAGTACTTTTGGCGCCACAACATCGCAAAGTCTACTTTCACGTAAGTAAGCCGTACGATTTTTTTAAAGAGTAGTTGGACCCTTGGATACCGGTAGAGAAGTCGCCGATCAAAATTTCACTCTGATTAAGTACTTGTACACTTCTGCAGATTTATTACAAGCATTTTTCGTTTAAAAATAACGACTACGACATGTGGATGGGGGTTCAAAACCAAATTTTATAGGTGCGGTTCGTCAAAAACAGGTAACGGCCGTAGATTATGGCAAGTTCCTAAAGGGTGTACCACACAATCACATGACCATTAAACATTTAAACGACTTCACTATCGCGCTGCTTGCTCTACTTTCAAGTGGTGTGGGAATTATTTTTTATTTTTTTAATTCTCATAAAAATGTTCTTTGCAATGCTCTGGTGCTAAAACTGAATATATTAGCAAAACACTATCTTGACACAAATTGTGAGTAGTTTAATTTTGTAGTTAACGGTTTTCTCGTAAAATGCACAGAAAAAGAGATATTGTAAAAAACTGATTTAGTACGCCATTTTTCCAAGTTGGCGTCGCGAGCGGCGCACGTACGAGGGTGCAAAACGGAAATCAAAAAGAGCACATCAAAATCTATAAAATTTCCGATTTTCAAAACTCCTGGAAAACATTCACGGTAGAACCACCAAATTACTGAAGGAAATAAAATCAATTGTTACAGATAAAGCAAAACAGTTTGGCGTGATGGACACTCATCTTTCACCGACTAACTTATTATAGAGGTAGTAATTGAATCAACCGGTGCAACGATAATTTGGAGAAGAAAAGGCTGAATATTAAAGTATTATTAGCCAGTTCAATTTATAGACGAATGCGATGTACAGATAACATCGTATAAATATAGAGATGAGAACACGCAAAAATACTTCATAGGCGCCAGATATATGGATGTCGCATGAAGTTACGTGACCCACGAGTAAGTACCCCTAAAAAAAATAATTTGGGTAAAATATATATTTTTGTAATATTTTTGTAAAAAATTAAAACCAGTAATACAGTGCATATCTACGACCTCCAGCCACCGTAAGCACGGGCCTATGGAATGCGAGCACGGGTAACTCGCCACCCGATCAAAATCAGACCCGAGCATACGGCTTTCGCGTATCGCGCACGCCTCAAAGATCCATCAGACTAAATGGGGAAAAATAGGGCCCAATAGGGCTGATGCCTATACGGAGCCGCGGAGGACTTAAGAGCAGTAGTAGGACTGGGGTGATTTTAGACAGTAAGAGTCTGATACTCTCTAAAGAAGAAGAACTCCCAGAAGTCATTGGATGATTACCCCTCCTCAAAGAAAAAGTGCATACGTATAGCGTTATTGCACCCAACGCAACATAATATGTACAATTAACGTCGGCACTTATCGGGTACTCTCTCTCATCATAGATGCACAGGTAACGTTGCGGGGAAATATGTTGCTATTGCTACAGACGTAGCTCGTAGAGAGAAGTTCGTAGCGCGTAGTAGCATTTTCCCGCTAGTAACCTCGTAGGCGTAGAAACCGTGAACCCAATTAGCGAACCGGTCCTACGGAAAGAGTTTACAAAACTTAGTTGAAATAGATCGTCTTGACTATTTTACTGCGAGGACCGCCCTGAGGACACAGTAGAACACACAGTCGGGGAATGCCCTACGTGGGCTGAGCACCGCCGTGCCCTCAGGGAAGTGATCGGCGATGGCGACCTCTCGCGTCCGGGCAGCGCAGGTCATGATGCGGAGCGAGGAGGACTGGGATGCCGTCTCCTCCTTTTGCGAAACAGTTATGCTGCTAGTTAAGGAGGAGGCGGGAAGCGTGGGGCAGCGAAGCGCAGCCTCCTCGCAACTCAGCCATCGCGAAGGACTCACTAGGCGTCGGGGATCGCGAGACGATCTCCGGCCACAGTAAGCGCGGGCCTGCGGACGGCGAGCATGGCTCCCCGTCCGACCAGAAACAGACCCGAGCGTACGGCGCTTCGGGTATCGCGCGCGCCTCGTAGAGCCATCAGACCACCACGGATGGGGCCCAACAGGGCTGATGCCGATTCGGAGTCGTGGAGAACCTAACGGGTTACTGGGGCTCCGGCTCGACGTGCAGGAGAAGGAACGGGGTGGTTTTTAGTCAGTAAGAGTCTGACACTCTCTTCCACCTCACCCAGGTGGGAGCAGTCATTCGATGATTTCCCCCCCTTAAAAAACTAAATAAAAATCTTGACTATTTTAGTTATAAAAAGTTATTGAATAACAGAACAGTAAAATATTGACGCCCTTACGAAGAAATACCTAAGCTATGCATATTTATCTCCTTGCTCGTCAAGTGTACCATCGATAGATAATATCGAAATTTCTGTGTAAATACGAAATTAAATAACCTCATTTGAAAGTAAAGAACAATCAAAGTAGTATTTAATATTTCAACAACTCTCTTCAAAATCAATTTGTACTAAATTAAATAACTTATATTTATTGTGAAATGAGTTTATTTTAATGATTTCACTTCCCAAAGTAATGACTTTGGGAATGGCCACTGTTAGGACCCCCGCCCACGGCGGTACAGTCGCGAAGTGCATACAAAAGTAATACACGTCAGTAGCGATTCTGCATCGCTACAAAATGTTGCCGTTGTTAGTAGTTGGGGGAGAGCCCTTAGATGGTGCTAGTATAACAGGAGGGCTGTTTTTGTTTATCTAACAGAATTAGTTAGTGTCCGATCATGGGACATTCCATTTTTTATTGTTGTAGTGTCCCGGAGGATTAAGACGCCCGCTTCTCATTACATGGGAGTATAGGTTCGAAACCTGGCAGTTAACAATGCGACATTTTGCGATTTTTATGTTCTTTCTAAAATTATTTAGACAATAGTGGTATGAGGAGCGAACCTGAACTTATAATTTCAAATTACAATTTTGAAATTGCCAACACGCCTTGAGCGAGCGTGGTGATTAATGCTCAAACCTTCTCCGTGTGAGAAAGAGCCTGTTACTTAGCAGTGGGCCATCATAAGCTGTTGCAAGGCTTGTTGATGATGATGACAATGAGTGGACAAAAAGATTTTACTTAGATTATACATTCGAACTATCTAATGGGGAAAAGATTCTAACACTCATTTGGTTATTTACCATCAACTACGTTAAATTATTGCGATGATGCGATGAATAAATGCGATGTGCTGGAAGTTAATCTTCCAGAACAACGATGAGTTAAAAAGAAAGTGTGTCGTTAAAAAAATCGGTATCTCCATTGTATTTTGTATTTTTAAAACTTACAGCCATGGAGTATTTAAAAGCCTATAAGTCAATGTATTTAATAATTTTTAAAAACTGCTTTGATGCTGTCAATGTGTCACACACACGAGTGTCACGTCAATTTGTTACAAATGTCAAATCTTGATAACGTCATGGCATATGAATTCCATAGATATATTATTATAATTTTTAGCATGAGTTTGCCATGAATCTGTTCACCATGAGCTTATTTCCTTTGCAAAACAAAGAAAAGTAGTAGATAACACTGCTCTACGAAAAATCTTCGGTAATATGTGACGTTTCTGAAACTTGAACGCGCGTCAACACTTCAGCAGTCACTTCATAAGATAAACATTCGGGATGTGTTCTAATGTTTTTTGATAGTATTTACACGTAGTATATTATAATTCAACCAAAATGGATCAAAATAATCGCCAAAGGAGAAATGATTTAGATATAGACAGTTTTCGAAGCGATGAGCCCGGCTTTGATAGAGCCCGAATGCGAAGACAATCTGGTGGCTTCGTGGATTTAGGCAATGAATCACAATATGGTTCAGGCGGACATCAAGCTTCAGGAGCTAACGAAATATTTGCAGACATACAGGTCGGTAAACTATATATCGATTAACCACTTAGCCTTAGACGCTTAGCATGCTCTCATGATAATAGGTAATTAATATTCAGTTACATTAAAACTACAGCTGATGTTTTCCGTTTACTAATAACTAGGCAAAAGTTGTTTCCAAACCGATTTATTGTATGTAGTTCATTACATTTAATTCATTAAAATATAAAAAACTAAACATTGTTAACTAAAATAGTCCTCTTTTTGGTTTAAAATTAAAGTAATAAAAATTAAAGTAGGTAGCGTAAGGATGGTAGTTACTTGTTTGTTGAAAATTTAAGACATTACTCCTTCATTTTAAATGAATACTAGTCACACATGTCCATTAGTGTCTGACATGTACCAAAATAGTATTGTACCTACATACTATATACATTTCTTTCTAGTGTTAATTAAATAAACTTACATGTCCGCTTGTTTATCTAATCATCACCTAATATCTTAAGATTAAAATCAATACTGATAAATTGTCATTGTCTATGCAACTGAAAATTAAAAAATTAATTGCAGGGTGATGTACCATGGTGGAAATCGAACTTCTTTATATCACAACCAGTTCTCTTTGGTACTTGGGATGGAGTGTTTACATCTTGCCTTATAAATATTTTTGGAGTTATTGTATTTCTAAGATCTGGTTGGATTGTTGGACAAGCAGGATTAGTAAATGCAATTTTTATAGTACTTTTTACAGGTAAGAAACTCATACCTTCTTCAGAATATAGGTATTTCTGTAACTACCTAAGCTGGTATTTCATTATTTTTATCAGTCAAGACATTCATAAAAGAATATCAGCACATTTATTATCTAAATCTATATATGGCCTAATACAATGATTTATAACTATGGAATTTAATTAATTTTGCACTTTATCTAAGTACCCGATTATCAATTTTATTTATTATTGATTTTTTTTATATATATTTAATGGCCGATGTTTGGCCACTATCTCGCCTTGTGGTAAGCGATGATGCGGCCTATGATGGAGCATGTCTACTCATAAGTAACTTGTTCACTCAGGCCTTGGAGACACTCAGGTATATAGGGATATCCTTCACGAAACACAGACTCTGGCAACTAATTCCACACCTTATTGATTGTAGATATTTAATGTTATATATTGTTTTCCAGTTTTTGTAGCTCTGATCTCAGTGTTATCAGCAGTGGGTATATGTGAGAGATGCAGGATAGAGAGTGGTGGAGTGTATTTCTTGCTTGCACACACATTAGGGTCCAGGATGGGAGGTGCTCTCGGCATGATATACTGTTTTGGTCAGGTAATTCTATTCAGTAGTTTATCATACATGTTTATAGCATTGTTATATTATTTCCCCCCAATATCCCCTTACAAATAAACAGTATACCCATTATGTTGATATTTCCACATATTAAGAGAGAAGTACCCCAGGTTTATAGATTCACATGCAATCAATTACAAGTCATTTATTTTAAAGCATTGTAAATGATATATTCCAGGCCGTGGGCTGTGCCTTAAATGTATTTGGTTTTGGTGAATCAATGGCTGGCTTCGTAGTTGCTGATCCACTTAGTGACACCCACAAGTGGGCATCCCGAGGATTTGCTATAGCCGCAGTATTGTTGCTGGGCACTATAAATATCGCCGGAGTGAAGTGGGTGGTGAAACTACAATTTGCACTGCTCATGATTATTATGCTCGCAGCTCTTGACTTCTTTGTGGGGTCATTCACAACAGTACCAACTGATGAAGCACGTAAGTCTGTTGTATTTTAAATTTTGAAATTACATATCAGTTTATTCATACAATGCACAAAACTACATACCAGTTTGCTATAAGGAAATAGATTGTATATTATAACTTTTATTATTAGATAGTTTTCTTCGTGAACTTTATTTTAAAATAACAATTTTTTTTATTTCAATTTATTTATTTAAACTACAACTAGCTTATTATTTTATTAATATTTCAGTTCAATCAGAATTTAAGGGGTGGCTCAGTGGAGTTGCAGCAAATAATACATGGCCCGCTTACCAAGATGGCTACACCTGGTTCAAATGCTTTGGAGTATTCTTCCCAACCATCACTGGTATATTAGCAGGAATTAACATGAGCGGAGATTTGAAAAATCCCTCTGTGAATATACCCAATGGATCATTAGCAGCTATCAGTACTGGGTAAGTTTTATTTTTGATAGCGCGACATTAAAAATGCTGTTTACATAAATTTCTTTAATCAAGTAGATTGACAAACACAGCCACGCCTTTAGAGTCTTTATTATAGCTATGAAACTTTGATTTACTGTTATGTAGTGCTAAGTATTTCTAAATAGATAGTGTTAATACGCTGACCACTCTTGTTCAACCATTCTAATCTTAAAATGTGTTGCAGAACATTTTTATACCTGATGTTTATAATAACACTGGCGGCTACAGTGACGAGGGAAGGTTTACTGCACAACCTGTCAATCACAGCTGATATCTCAGCAGTGACCGTTCTATTACTTGGTGGTCTATATGTCAGTTCCATGAGCTCTTGTCTAGGCGCCATGTATGGAACTCCTCGAGTCCTACAAAGTATTGCAAATGAGAAAGTTATACCTGGACTTGCATTTCTTGGTCATGGGGTTAGTATTATGTTGTAATTCTATGTATTTTATTTGATGTGTATTCATTTAGATATTTTGGCATTTAGATTAACATTTTGCATGAGTTAATCCCAGTAGTGAAAAAGTGTAGTGTATGGATATTTTACTTTTAATCCTAATAAAATGGTTACTGGGATAATGTTTTCCCTAAGTAGCATTTGATTTCAAATTAACATGTGTATTTTATTATACCTACTTATTGTCCCTTATATTATCTTCAATAATTTATCGAATATTCATATTATTTACAGAGAGGTCCCAACAAGGTACCGATATACTCGATGGTGGTAGTAGCAGTGGTCACCGTCACATTCATCATCATTGGTGACATCAATCAACTCGCACCCATTGTCACTATGCCGTTCCTCATCACTTATGCTTGCATTGACTATTCTTACTTTGCTCTCGCCCAAACTTTTGATTTGCAACATAGACGAGAAATGAGGTATGATTCCTTACTTTTCTTTATTATTACTTATTGTTTTAATTTGCTAAATGTATAGAAAAATGCATCAATTCCAAGTATAGGAGACAAACATTTTTTTTTATTTCTTCCTATGAATCAGCGTACTGCATAGCCATAGCAAAATAATCGAGTACTGATACGTGCAGGTATTGTGTTTATGCGGAAATACGAAAGTATAAGGAAAATAAGCAACTTGATTAAAACTGTCTAATAATGACCGCCAAAAAACACAAAAATATTTAGCCACAAGAACCTTCACACTCAAATTACTTTTTAATTGCTCGAGCATTAAAAAAGAAATTAACGCTCGTAATGCAACCATTTCATTGTACACTGTATTGATTTCAGATACCAAGGTCATTCGCAACGTGATACGCAAGTTTACGGCGCTACTGGCAGTGACCTAGACTTACTGTTCCCAGAGAGAATTAGACATAAAAATGTTGGGGTACGTGATACACTTGTTACGGCCTGCGCCATATTGATGCTGAATAAAGAAACACCAACTGATCAAACTTAAAAAAAACTTTCATTATACTTACCGAATAAGTAGTTGACATCGAATGTTAATCGAACACTACAACAATATACTTAATATTGTACTGTACGCTTAATATATCGCCAAAATATCAAATGATTTTTATTCTTCTTGGGTGATCTTATCAGTTATCATCACACACGGTATAAAGCAAACTCTTAGAGAGGATGGAGGTGTGGTAGGAGTCTGATATGAGTCTTGCAGTGTACAATAATAGTTATGAACTACTTGAAAAATGAACATAATTACTATGATGTTGAGCTGGAGCTTAATACAGAAATCTGTTTTCCAGGACTTTACTCCATCTCCAACGGACTCTGCGATAATGAACGGCCGTATGTCTAACGGGGATGTACGACGACCTAGTGTTAGCGTACATTCTAAGAACAAGAACTGGTACTCGCATCTTTGTAACAGATGGCTGTCCCTTGTTGGGGTGAGTACCTACTCAAATAATGCTATGGTAATGAGTAGAACGTAGATTATATTATGCATAAACTCGAAACATATTGTGGGCTACTATTACTAGGAACTAGGAGTGCAATAATATAAGAAGCTAGGCGAAAATCGTAGGTCATTTTGTCCCCAATGACTAAACTGACTTTTGACTGTCATTTAATTAGTTGTTTAATTTCAGGTGGCAATAAAGCTATTGTTGATGTTTCTCGTACACTGGGGGTATGCTCTCGGCTGCCTGACTATTCTGTGGCTGTTCTGGCTTTACATTGGTGCCGCCAACCCCGCACTCAAGCCCGGACGCGCTTCAGAGTTCCGGTTCTTCCATTGGCTTAAGATTTCTTTCCTACAGTTAATTGGGTAATTATTATTTATTTATACAAACATTAATTATATTATAGGTATGTTTTTTAAAATCTTAAAATGAATAATATTAATTAATTCACTAATTAAGTAATATTACATATTATACACCAATGTTTATGTAAAAACTACTGCACGGATAATACCTGAAGTAACAAATTAACTACTTTCATCCCCACAACGAGGGCGACGCCGCTGGTAGATGTTGATAACTTATTTCTCATTATTCAGGAAACGCCCCCTAGAATACGAACAGTTGGTTGTGACACCCGTACATGCAGACATATCCGTAGAACAAGAGAGATTGAACGATGACAACGAAGACTTCGCATCAAGGCGTCGGTACCACCAGTCTACTGCGTTACAAAGTCATCTGGTCAGCGTCGATAGCTAAATAAATCAAATGGAACAAAATAACAATATCAATTGAACATATTTTAACATGTTGCTGACCAATCAATATTTGCTACACATCACATTTCTATGAATAACAATATTTGACCTAATACACAAAGAACATTAAATCAAATCTGAAACTAACATATGTATACCTCTCTGCTCGATTGTAATCTGATGTCATTAATATCAATATAACCAAGTAATTGATGTGTGCAGCTACGCCAAGGCCTTGTGGACTATCCTAATCCTAATTGTGGAGTATCCTAATAAAAAGATGCAATATGTAAATTCAAAAAAGCTGTGTAGGTAACTTATAAAATATGGACTGGAGAAGCGACTACTCACCTTTTTTCAGTATCTATTTTTATTAGAAAAATAGTTGCAGAAACAGAGAATACATGAAACTTGCTTTGCATGACAGTAATTCGCATAATGCTACTTACAAGCTTGAAAGCACTTCGCTATAAAGGCTTGTCATGGCTATACACAATCCATCTTCTCATATGTTCTGTCTGTGTCTTTTTTTTTTGTTCTTTAGCACATATTAAAAACAATTTACAAGAGCACTAATTTCAAATGTTTTTTTTTCACATTATTCATATTTATTTCTTACGCTAAATAATTACTTTGTAGCATTTATGACTGACTTTTAATTAAATGTACATACATAATTATTTTATTTTTGCATCTCTAATAGAGATTATTATAATTATTAAGATGTAACATTAAGATATAAGATATTATTAAACTATCATAAAATTATACACATATTTCATGCATAACTTTTGTAAGTTTTAACTAAAATTGGATTAAATTATTTTTATATGGTATAGATATCTTTTAATATTGATACTCCCTATCTATGTGTTTCTGAATAAAGACTGTCCCAGAAGTCGCTGTCCAAATGGCAACGGGTCAGGCCCGCCGTAAGCGCGCGTGCAAAGCGTGCACAGCACTCGGGCGCACGATCATGGGGGCGGCAAATCGAGCGACTCATTACCTAATATTCAAAATCATTGTCCAGAGTAAGCAGAAAGTATAAGAAATATCATCGCCGGGAAAAAATCCCACTCGACGCAAGCAATATTAGCGTTGTGTATTACGTTAGAGGCCCTATACCGGTCAGTAGCGTCTTAAATTCGAAGTCTATCGAGTGTTCTTGAAAACTATTGAGCGTCCACGATCACATTCTATAGTCACTCGAAAACTATCGAGCGTCCTCGATCACTTTTGGGTATCCTCGATTACTTTCAAAAGTTATTAGATCACTTTCGAGCATCATCGATCGATTTCGAGCGTCCTCGAAAACTATCGGGCGTCTTCGAAAACTATCGAGCGTCCTCTAAAACTATCGAGTGTCCTCGATCACTTTCGAGAGTCACTCGAAAACTATCGAGAGTCACTCGAAAACTATAGAGCGCCCTCGATGACTTTCGAGCGTCCCCGATGACTATCGAGCGTCCTCTAAAACTATCGAGCGTCCTCGATCACTTTCGAGAGTCACTCGAAAACTATAGAGCGCCCTCGATGACTTTCGAGCGTCCTCGATCACTTTCGAGCGTCCCCGATAACTATCGAGCGGCCTCGATCACTTTCGAGCGTCCTTGAAAACTTTCGAGCGCCTCGAAAACTATCGAGCGTCCTCGAAATCTATCGTGCGTCCTCGATCACTTTCTAGCATCCTCCATTACTTTCGAGCGTCCCCGAAAACTATTGAGCGGCCTCGATCACTTTCAAGCGTCCTAGATCAGTTTCGAGCGTCCTCGATCAGTTTCGAGCGTCTACGAAACCTATCGAGCTTCCTCGAAAACTATCGAGCGTTCTCGATCACTTTCGAGCGTCCTCGAAAACTATTGAGCGACCTCGATCACTTTCAAGCGTCCTAGATCAGTTTCGAGCGTCCTCGATCAGTTTCGAGCGTCTACGAAACCTATCGAGCTTCCTCGAAAACTATCGAGCGTTCTCGATCACTTTCGAGCGTCCTCGAAAACTATTGAGCGACCTCGATCACTTTCAAGCGTCCTAGATCAGTTTCGAGCGTCCTCGATCAGTTTCGAGCGTCTACGAAACCTATCGAGCTTCCTCGAAAACTATCGAGCGTTCTCGATCACTTTCGAGCGTCCTCGAAAACTATTGAGCGACCTCGATCACTTTCAAGCGTCCTAGATCAGTTTCGAGCGTCCTCGATCAGTTTCGAGCGTCTACGAAACCTATCGAGCTTCCTCGAAAACTATCGAGCGTCCTCGATCAGTTTCGAGCGGCCTCGAAAACTATTGAGCGTCCTCGATCACTTTCAAGCGTCCTAGATCAGTTTCGAGCGTCCTCGATCAGTTTCGAGCGTCCTCGATCAGTTTCGAGCGTCTACGAAACCTATCGAGCTTCCTCGAAAACTATCGAGCGTCCTCGAAATCTATCATGCGTCCTCGATCACTTTCGAGTGCCCGCGATCAATTTCGAGCGTCCCCGAAAACTATCGAGCGTTCTCGATCACTTTCGAGCATCCTCGATTACTTTCAAGCGTCCTCGATCACTTTCCAGTGTCCTCGATCACTTTCCAGCGTCCTCGATCACTTTCGAGAGTTATTCAAAATCTATAGAGCGTCCACGATTACTTTCTGGACTTAATCGAAATCTATCGAGTATTTTCTTACATTTTCGAGATATCTCTGCCGCAGGAGACGCTTTTGGTGTAGTATCGCGTCTGCGGACGGCAAGCAAGGATCACCTGACACGTAGCAGACCCAAGCGTACGGCGCGTCGTGTAAAATGCAGGCCTCAAAGAGTCATTACTTCATCAGACACCACAGACGGACGCACCAGGACTGTTGCTTTGCTGGTACTGGGGCCCTGGCTTTGAGCAAGTGTTGGAGGGAATGGGGTGATTTTTAGTACTAACTAGGAGGTACTGAGTAGGAGTCACTTCGTCAAGAGTAATTTGAGGACTTTTTACCCAAACTACAAAAAGGGGGGCGGCATAATCAGTATTTGCACGCGGGCGCTCGAATCCTAGCGGCGGGCGTGCACCGGCAAATCGGTGATCGGCAAAGTTACAACAATTGCAAGAAAAAAGAAAAAAATTACTTAGTCATGTACTTTTCAAATGATAGTTATCCACAAAAAAGTAAACCTGTAACAGTATTTGACTCCTGTAGCTACAACCGTTTATTAGTTCGTCTGGATTTCATCTCATGTTAAGTTTAACACTGCGTTGCAGTTGCACAGCAGAGCATAGGTAGTGGTTCAGCAATATGGAACCTGAAACTTCAGTCATTTGCTTTAGATAAGATGTAGATTTTAAACGAACCAAATAATATTTAACATATTCACGTTACTTATAGATAAGTGACTCCTGAAAAGTAATAGTAATTACACCAAAAGTTGGGGCATTTAAGATTCTACCACATACTTAGGTACCAAATTATTCTCGAATTCAGCTCCGATCCGAACAATTTCTGTAAATGTAATAAAAATTCCAGTACCCAATCATTATCTACTTCCCTAGGTTAAAAATAAATTATTTCGACATTACAATGCAATAATGCTGCCTCGTTAGCCGAACGGTCGCAATTGTGCGACTGTCGGGCAAGGGGTGTCTGGTTCGATTCCCGGGTCGGGCAAAGTATTACTGGGTTTCAAAAAAAATCTCAGTAGTAGCATCGAATTAAAAATAATCATACTTTCATTCAATGCTTCGACGATATACCTAATTTCGGTTACGTTATTTGTTATTTTTTAAACCGACTTCAAACAAAGGAGGAGGTTCTCAAAAAAATCTCGAAAAAAAATCAAACTTCTATGTCAACGCAATCAAAAGAAACCGCAATTCAAGCTGCATATTTTGAAACTCGCAAGTACTCGCAAGGGAATCAAAACCTAAAGGGTACTTCCAGTCGACCTAGAATCTTGAAATTTGGCATGAAGAAACGTTTTATAGCACACATAAAGGAAAAATTCCGAAAACCTTAAATTTTTAGTTACATTACAAAATACACATTTTTTAATAAATATAAACTTATTACTTTTTTCCTCATGAACGCGTAGAGCTATCAAGTTAAAATTCATATCAAATACTTAGATCTAATTGCCTTTAACTTATATGAATGTAATATATGATTTTGTAAACCTTGTAACTTTGTAAACCTTGCAGGTTTGTACGGAACCCTCGGTGCGCGAGTCCGACTCGCACTTGGCCGGTTTTTACAATTTATGCCAGTTTTCAATTTTTTTAGATTCAATACCTATAAAATTTTTATAATTTATTAGAACATATAACATAACATTTCTGCACTTTGGACAGTGTGGAAGTGGAGCAAAATCGTAACCAGTTGGTACCCCAGGGAAGGAACCAGGAAAAGGGGTAAACCTCTTAAAAGAATATGGGATGATGACCTCAGGCAGGTGGCAGGAGTTACATGGCACAGAGTAGCTCAAGAACGAAATGAATGGAAAAGGTTTGAGGAGGCCTTTGCCGACCGGCAAACAGATCTCCAAAAAATAAGTAATAGGTATTTTATGGATACTACCTCTAGACCTAAGTAATGCAAATCCTAGGCAATATTAAATTATGTAACAGTTATTAGTTGGATCTGAATAAAGGGCTATTTTATTTCATTTTATTTATTATTAAAATTATGGCGATCTTCCTTTTTCAAATAATTATAGATTTTTTCGTATATAAACTGATACGGCACTGAGGATATTTAACATTTTAAATAGTTCTCTCAGAGATTCGCGACGGGGTAAGTTATATATTGCTCGAATAGCTCGCTTCTGCAAAATAAAAATCGATTCTACATCCGCAGCTCGACCCCACAACAAAACGCCGTAGAACATAATGCTGTGAAAATAACTAAAATAGACAACAAGCCTTGCTGTATTTACGTCCGTGAGCTGCCTGGTTTGTCTAACCAGCTTACGCAGCTGAGTTTAATATCCGCGAAAGCGCTTTTATGTGGGACCCCCATTACAATATAAGATCTAGTGTGACACCTAGAACCTAACGGGTAACCGTGGCTCCGGCTTGACGTGCAGGAGAAGGAACGGGGTGGTTTTTAGTCAGTAAGAGCCTGACACTCCCTCCCGTCTCACCAGTCACCCATGCGGGAGCAGTCATTCGATGATTTTCGCCCCATAAAAAGTGTGACACCTAAGAATACAGGCTCTTTAAAATGAGAAAACAAAATAAATGCATTAAATTTAGCTTATCAAACGTGTAAAGTAAAGAATGTGACGTTGTTTTGAACGCACAAAAGTTGGAAAGTTACTCATAGTAAACCAATTATGGACTCTAAGAAACAATGAAGCCGTTTTCGTCGTCAAAATTATCCGTACGTCAACTTATTTAAAAAATTAATGGAGTATCATCTTCAAATATTTTCGAGTTTTCGAGTACTATGGCGTATCGTTAATGTAGACCAAAAGGAGTTTGTTGTTTTATATAGGAAAAAATATTTTTAAGAACTAGTAACACTACAATAAATATCCGTGAAATATCCACACTGAGCACCACGATGGCACTGCACCATAGATGAAAAATAGCACTGCGTTCTATAGTCAGAATTTTAATTAGATTCCAGATTTGACAATAGCTACTGTCATTTTGTGAAATAATGATACCACATTTAATAGTGTAGTGATGAACACAAAAATCGATAAACAATCAGTTTGTGTGTTTTATAATAAATGTTACAGAAAGTGACAGGATAGCGACAGCGATGACGGCGACAATTTATAAAATAACTTATTACCATAATACATCTATTTGTTTTATTTGTCATGTTCCTTCATGATTAAATTTTTTCATTTATTTCACACAGTTATAAAAGAAAAGTCTCAGATCGTTAATTAATCGTCAAAACTAAATTATCGGTTCAGAAATATTTAATTTCCTGATATATTTAGTTTACGAGACTAAAATTATAAACGAGAAAAATCGATCCAGAAATTTTGCATTTCTATATCGAATAATTTCGCAACGTCACTATTTAGTACTTGTCATAACGTTGCAACACTGAAATTGTCAAATCTGGAATCGAATTAAAATTCCGAGTATAGACAGAGAATTCTCTGTCTACGCACTGCGCCGTCAAACAAATGAATGAAATGCAATACATGTCAAATTGTCATGCAGTCATTCAGATTCATTCATTCATTTTTGTCCTTCATTTCATTCATCGTCATCGAGTTCTACACCTGTGGTCTCGATAGTGTTTATTTTTATTGTAAAATTGTTTAATTTTTGGCTTTCTGAAATCATTTTGTTGTAAAAACTAAAGTGATTTTTTGTAAAATGGCAGATGATTTAAGAAATTATAAACTGCAACTTCAACAGGTTGGTAGAATTCAGTGTTATCGATCTTTTTTGTCATCGTGGTATTTTCATCATGTTTTGATCATTGATTTCAGCTTATAATTTTGTAATTTCTTTATAGGTGGAAGCAGCGTTGCTCACAGATGGTGAAAATGAAGAGTTGCTGAAATTAAAGGCTGACTTGGAAGAAGTAATAGAGTTGACACAAGATCTTATCAAAACTCAAGACGCTGACTCCAAAGTGCCTAATATTCATGGTTCTAGTAATGATCATGATGTTGCAGCATCCGTGTTGGCGGCCGACGATGAGGAAAGCTCACACAAATACTTTTCAAATTGGCAAGTTGGCGAGAGATGTTTGGCGAAATGGCGATCAGATGGACAGTAAGTGATTCTTTGCTTTCTCATGCTATTTTTGCCTTTAATCTCTCTTATTTTGAATTGTATAAAGTTAAATTCCTATTATATTATCAAATTATCATTATCGCCTTCATCAGCCTATAACTATCCTGCTGCTAAGAAAAGGCCTCTTTTCGCATGGAGGAGGAATGAACATTAATCTAGGTTTTCTCTCTACTATAGATACCTTCGCCATCTGTCGATGTTGTCTAAATAAGCATGAAATCCATTTATTTTTAGCTATCTCAAATTGTATCTTTATGCACATCTTTGTAAACTTGTCCCCCACTACCCACTACATAACAAATTAATGGTATTAATGTTCTGTATCATCAATAGTTTTCGTATATTAATTTCTTATTATAGATGTAAGAAAACAGTAGAAAAAGTGTGTAAATACATTACATATTTTTAAAATAAACAAGGTAGGAAAGAGCAATGACTGTGAGATAGCTATGCATCGGCACAAAGGGCTACTCTGCTGGAGTGATACCCCGGCCTTATAGAAATCTGGCATGGAACAACTTTTGCGTTTCGTCTGTCGTCATATGAGTGAGGTTGCTGAAGGCCCAAGTACCACAATAGGCACTAATTTGGGTGGCGCAGATTGCTCTACTCGTTTACTGACATGTGTCATAAAAATTGTATTTGAAATGATAAAACCATGTGTACATAAGTATGCTTTTTTCTTTGCACACACAAATCTTTTGACCTAGCCGAAGGATTACAGTTAAACTCTATAGCACTGCATACTGCTATACTGCAACATATAGAGCATAACTATATGTTGCAGAGGCCTGTTTTGCTTGTGTCTTGGGAAATGGAACAAAACAACTACCCAAAGTGAATAATATGTGTTGAAAAACGAAAGAAAGTGTTCTGTGGTGAGAAAACGTTGTGGACAGAAGTTACAAATGCTTATCACTTATTACAGATTTTATGAAGCTCTCATTGAAGATGTCACTGAAAATACATTAAAAGTTAAATTTGATGGCTATGCAACAGCAGAAGTGGTATCCATTAATGATGTAAAAGTTATACCAGGAATAGGTATAAAGAGACCTCACAGCGGTGACGAAAGCAAGTGAGTATAAACACACTTTCCAGTACATATAATGCCAAACCTTTGTTTCCCTAGTCACTTTTGATTATTAATTGTTATCATTATTTTAGTCTTTTGGCTTAGCCGTGTCTGGATATTCAGGCTACCTCATAATTATCCCTTTATATGCCTTGCCACTTCAATTGTATTTGAACTATAGCAGTTATTATCTCGGCAACCCACATTTTACTTGTTATAGTAGTATGGGGGTTGTGTTGCCATATTACAGGTTGTATTCCAATTTCATGCAGTATTAGTATATATTATATTATTACACCTTTACATACTGTTTCATGTACTAAATTATGTTTGTTTATTGTTTCTTAATAGGCATGGAAAGGGGTACAATAGAGAATATCTCAAGAAGAAAAAACAGAAGAAACAACAAAGATTTAAACAAATAGAAGAAGAAAGAGAAACTGAAAAGAACAAGTGGTTAAACTTTCACACCAAAGCTGCAAAGAAACCTGGTGTGCGAACAAAGAGTATATTTGCTTCGCCAGACAATTTGACCGGCAGAGTAGGCATCGGCACCTGTGGCATATCAGGGAAACCTATGACTGAGTATACTCCTGGAGAAAAGTGGAAGAAAGGTGGATAATATTATTTGTAAATTTAGTTTAAGTTAGGTTTTATTTAGTCCTTGACACCCAGTAATTCAAAGTCAGAATTTGTCACTTGGTGTATGAAATAGTGCATGTTTCAACTGTACTAATATTACAGAAATTGTGTTTATGCTAATGTATTTATGTTATGATAATATAACATACAACAATTATTTGCTTTTGTTTCTTTAATTGTTTAACAATTATAAATAGATTGACCAATATTGTTAAAGCAATTTTATAAGTATTGTGACAGGAAACAAATTAACTAATACATTTTTAATTAATTAAATAATATAACATACAGTAAAGCCCTTATCGCTAATTATCACATCAAAGGTATAGGGATACCAAATTTCACTCAAATCTGTCCAGTAGATATGGTGTGAAAGAGTAATGTTACAAACTGGTGGTGTAGTGGCTGCTGCACAACGTGAGCGACGGAGCACATTTTTTTATGTAACAGTAACTAAACCAAACAATATTTTTGCATAACAATTATATAATATATTTAAAAAAGACTGCCTCGTTGACCGAGTGGTCACAAGTGCGACTGCCAGGCAAGGGGTCTCTGGTTCGATTCCCGGATCGGGCAAAGCATTACTGGGTTTAAAAAAAATTCTGGTATTGTGCCCGATATATGGCAATAGGCTCACCCCTATTACATAGGTCTCCTAACATATAGTGAAAAGTGGGTGTTACATTGTCAAGTGGCACTAAGTGCCGTAATGTGCACCTCTGCCTACCCCTTCGGAGATGCGATATAAAAGGCGTGATATTATGCTATGTTAAAAAAGAATTGACCGTGATAGCTATGGTAAAAAAGCCGACACTGAATTTGCATCATGGTAAAACAATCGGTTTCGAGTCCCACTACTAAGCAAACACGTATTATAATAACACTAAAATAAAATGTAACTACATTTGGCGACATACCGTTCTTTCGTGCTCCGAAGTAGGATACATTGAATGACTGGTAATACCTAAGTATTCTAATAGATGGCGCCACATGCCATATTTGTTAGATGGTTACTAGGTACTGAGTATCGAGATATCTCGGTAGTTAGAACAACGACACAGTGAGCCACACATCGGCTTTGAGTTCTGTGTTGTTGTTTTTTTTTCCAATTTTATAATTTGTGTTTAAAAAGTATAATTAAAATCTGAAAATAGGTCGGTAGTAAAATTATATCTGAATAAGATGATTTTAGCCTTAGAAATTGGTGTGGTGTGGAGTGAGAAACAGCGTGATCAGGGAATATTGGTTTAAGGAGGTACTTATGCCAGAAACGTTCCACTGTTTCTGCCCTGTACCTACGCATCATCACGCCAGTATAGATTAGTCTAGTAGAAGACAGGCGTGATGATATGTTGGTATATATAAATAGATAGACAAGTACTTGACACGGCTCGGAAATCGAAATCGAAACTCGCCCTGATAGTCGCAGTTGTATTCTCGTCCTGATGTTGTACTCAGAGACTGGTATAAATGTTCCTACTATTTCATACCTATCAAGGGAGAGAGTGCCGCAGCCAACACGAGCCAAGTGCAGTGCTAGGGCCAATATGCTTAAAATTTATTGATCTATCTCATATTGGTATGTAAGTTGGTATAAAAAGGTACATATTATATATATATATACTACATTTAGTACATAAACAGCGTAAAAGCTCTAAAACCCAAGTTGTCACAAAATAAATATGATTGCTAAGAATGTTTTCCATTTATCCATTCCATTAATCTGCCTCCACAACTTTGCTTACTTACAAAAATATCTTGTAACGAAAAATCCACTTCCTACAATCAATTAGCTCGTTTGCCCTCTATTCCAGTTTAAACAATAATATTCTAAACAACGCATTTCCATAATAATATAATTATTTTCAAGAAGAGACCATAAAGATCAAAAACGAATCTGATCTCATAAAGAGCCCAGTTTCTAACCCTTAATCACCGTAAGCTACGTCGCGGCGAGAGACTACAGACGTAGCTCGTAGCAGTCGTAGGGCATAGTTCGTAGCGCGTAGCAGCTTCCGAACGGCGTGCTACGAACTAGGACCGCTACGAGCTACGGTTATAATATTTTATTAAAGCAAAATTAAGATTAGTAGAGTTAGGATTGGGCATGCTGGGTTAGAAACTGGGTTTGACTCTTCATGATAACTAATTACCTTTTGACAGTGCAAATTATAAGACCTCATCTTGGCCATTTCTACATTTTACGTGAAAATGTTTTTGTGGGGTCGGATTATTCTGTTGGAAATCTCGCAAGTGGTTATAAGAGGCACGTTTTTACTTATCTGACTACTACAGTCGATTGTACATATTTAGAAAGATGAGCTTACCACGATTTAGCTTTACGATTTCTAAATTATAATTTAATAACTTTAGGGTGAATCGAGAACCATCGATGACGTAAGTACCTACCTAATCCGACCTTAACACTCTCAGTCTGCCTCTGACCACGCTCAGGTGGGGATCAAGTCGAAACGTCATGTTAATTATGTAGAGTTATTAAAAAATATTAAGAAGCACATGAAGCAAAATTAAGTTTTGTGTAAAGTTTATTTTAGTAGGTATTAACTTTTACTTAAATCTAATGTTTTTCGATGAATCATATGGAATATGGAAACACTGAACCATGCTGGGAAGATACTCGTAAGTAGGTACATCAATCTACATGTCCCACTGCCTTCTATTTTGTATCCAAAGACTTCTTTGCGGGTCTCTAAATTGGAATTGACGCTGACCTCAACATTACAGGTGGTAACAGTAACCCATTTCATACCCGTTCCAGTCTAGAGGATTTTAATAAGATTATAACCGCAAACAGGTTGAGTTGTGGCAGCCCCCCGAAGGTTGCCTGGCTATATAACTTACCTAGCTACATAATATATGTGTGACCATTTCTCCATGGTTTGGAAAAGCGTCAAGCATTTAATATCAAAACTCCAAAAAGGTTAACTTCCCCAAAGCAAGCTTGGGGTTCAAAATTTAAATCGACCACATATATTTTTCTCGCGAGAAACCCCGACACATTAAACAGCAAGTGTAACTACCTAGGCTACCAGGTAGCCTAGGTAGTAGAAGCTACCTTGGTGATCACGTTATGAAAAATCCTCTGTTTGTGCATTCCGTTACAATTAGGTAGTTGACAGGGTAAGAAAATTAAAAATCTAATTAGTCCATCAGATAGATTATGAAAAAATATTAGACACGTATTTTTTTGTATAAATAAATGATACTTAGATATAACGAATCAAAGTTTAGGAGTGGAGGCTAAAACGTCTGTATTGGAACTTTGCAACAATGCTTTTCATAAGATGGCTTCTAGTAGAGAATCAATGTGGATGCGAATCTGTTTACACTTGTCTTGTTTTTTAATGTTGTCAAATGAATAACCACGGGATCGGCTTTAAAACGCGTATATACTTATTCTAACCACGGAATACACAAGTTGAATAAAATTAATCTTTTACAAGTAACTAACCCAGTAGGCACCAACAAAAATAGTTTTACTTACAAAACGTTCAAATTGTAGATTTGTCTCCGTCGCGTAAAACTGGTTCAATAGGTAGATAAGTCGTAATATGAGATCGACAAATTCGTTTCTTGGAGCCAAAAACTTGTGCGATAAACCGTAGACCGTAGCTACTACATAACGTTTCTACGTACTACGACAAACAACAACCCGTAATCTTAAACAACAAATATTTTTTGTACTCAGCTTCCAAACTCGTGTAGTCGTATTTTTATGTAAATAGGTACCTAGACGGCCTACGTAAACATTTATTTGTCGACCTGTCATCTTCACACATGTCTATCGATTCTCCTGCGATATGGGGTCGTCGGTAATAAATTAAATACATGGATGTCAATGAAATTATACACTTAGTTGGACTGTCATTCTTTCGTTACATTTTTTTTATGGAATAAACCGGTAAACGAGCATACAGATCACCTGATGGTAAGCAATCTGCGTCGCCCATGAACACCTGGACCACCAGAGGCGTTACAAGTCCGCTACCGGCTTTTTGAGAATTTGGAGTCTGAGGATCGTCGGGGTTCAGGGATTTGGGAGATTGGGGTAGGGGAGGGTAGCCGGTAATTGGGCCTCCGGCAACCTCACTCACACGACGAAACACAACGCAAGCGTTGCTTCACGTCGGTTTTCTGTGAGGCCGTGGTATCACTCCGGTCGAGCCGGCCCATTCGTGCCGAAGCATGGCTCTCCCACACTTATCCCACACATCGAACTAAGGCATAAAATTACGTGTATAATCATAATAATCAAATAGGTACGTAAATGAGTCTGCCTGACTGCCTTGTCTTTGATTAAATAAGTTTTTAGAGCCTGTAGCGCACAAATAGATTCGATGTCAAGTTTGGTGTAAGCTGTTTAAATAAAATAAAATCCCGAATCTAGAATTGAGGTGTATTCTCCTATACTACTATACATCTATATACAAACTGTAGTAATTGTAACTACCAATGTACTGTTTCTCCTTTGACCAATGACATGAGTAATGCTGAGTAATGTTTTATATAAAGTACAATACACACACATATGCAGGTGTGAGTAGGTACCTAATTATAATACTATTACTTATTTATGACGAGTGAAGGGAAGCTCACTCAGTAGGTAGGTGCCTACTACCGACTTAAATACGTAGGCTTACCCATTCAACAAATTGCAGTGCTCCCTAGTTAGGCATTATAAATAATATATGTCCACCCTTTGAATATATGCCAACGGTAAACACTTCATAAACGTGAAAATATACCTAATCATAGTTTTATTAATAGATCTTCAGTCATTGTCGGCTTTGCCTGCACTACTTAAAGTCTTGATTCTGTAACAACAATTGGATAGGTGAACCCCAACTAACTTTATTGTATACTTCCTGAATAGTAAGCTTTCACTAGAAAGCTGTTTTACCATAGGGTAATAGAACCGATTTCACTTATTCTTTTAGGTTTCATTACCAGGAAAAGGTTCCTCTAAAAGAAATTTTTGGATGGTTCGTCAGAATCGTCAGTAAACACGAGCAACAGCAGTCTATTCGATGCCGTGACGTGCCGTAACAGAACAAGAACAATCAATGACATCGGGAATCAACATTGACATAAAAGTTGCGAACTAACACTGAGAACTGCAAAGCATGTGATATTCATTATTTAACATTAGCATTTAGAAGAGAATTGTATTCATTCTCTAGTTTGTTATGAATACGCAGGTACTAACACTATAATCGCGGTGCAACACAGAATACACGCAACTTTAACTAAAACACGGCACCCGCGTAGGAGTTAATGTAAGCAAATCAGTCATGTGCGCCTTCTTGTTTACAAATACAAGCCGTAAATTAGTACCACTTCAATTCAAACTGTAACTACGCCATCATATTTTACTATTATTACTTAACGTTTTTAAACAACTTTTCAAAGTATTAGAAACAAACTGATACCCGATTATTTATTAGTATTAGCCAGTTACCAATCTCCAATTAGAACAATTCTAATTTATTTACTTATTTATAGCAATTAGGTAACGAATATTTCTAAGTATTGTTTAATAATAGCTTTTAGCCAACTAATGTTGTTCATTCTTGCACAGCATACTATTTATAAACATTCTTGGGATGAAGATGGAAACCGTACCTACGTGAAATACTAGTAACGTTAAATATGTAAGTGAAAATAAGTAGGTATCGTACATAATGTAGGGTAGTGTGGTGCTGGAAACAAGAAACATAGTTTTACCCAGTTTGAAGCTTGTAAAGTATAGAATGTGCCAGTAACTTATCATTCGGCGCAGGTCGTAAAACTCGACGAAGGAAAAGGTTGCCGTTGTGTTCGTAGATAGTGTATGGGATGCCAATCTTATACATCGTGCGTTTTATGAACCTCTAGAGTACTGGTAAATAACTTGTATGTATAGCATACATACATGCCATGGGTTCAGAAGATTGTAGAGTGAGTGTTAACCAGCCTGTACGGAAATATTAAAGTATTAGTAGGACGTTAGCAACTTGAATTGACAATTTTTTTAACTAGTAAGTGCTTTATTGACCTGATTGTAGGATTGCAAAAAGAGTAAAAAGCCTCGGATTGGAATCCCGAATCTAGAAGATAATGGATGATAAGTGTCGTTACATTGAATATGTGCAATTTAGCATTTCCCTTCTAGGTTTAAATGAACGATGCTACGTTTCAATGTTTCAATGCACAAGTGCAATAAACAAATCTATTAATTAACAGCCAAGACTCCGTACTGCCATTAATTACTAAAACGAAGCATTCGATTTAATAATAGATTTCTAATTTCATTTTGAACTGCCATTGACTGGCCCACTGCACGCGTACCCGATGAGGTCGGGTCGTGTAAAGTACTATTATTATTATTAGAATTTTAGATTTTATAATTTTCGCTCCCTTTTACATTGTATACCTAAATTATTTTTTCGTTTTTGACTCATGATCATGGTAATACTTAATTATCTACACCCTTATTGGTTGGATGGACGTAAGGTATGGATAAAATTTTTGAATTTGGCAAAATAGTATTATTATTAGTAAAATTCTGTGGGTTGCAAAGCTACCGAGAAGGATGTAAATGGATACTAAAATTGCAAATCCGTCTGCTACTCAGGGGAAAATAAGTTTTACAAGTTATATTTTGAATTCTGAAACAAACCAGAATCACGCGACTTGGAAGGGAAACTTGCACCACTACTGATCTGAGAGCATTTTATAAAATCAAAGCAACGTGTCGCGAGTCCTATTCCCGCACGAGAGAATTATTTGTATGACCTATACATATTTGTACCACGTGAGTGTGGTGTGTGAAAAAATGTGTTTATAAACGCTAATAAAAAAAGTAAACCTAGAATCGCAAAAAACAAGCTAATCTGGATTTACTTTAATACACCTTTATTCCTAGCTACTCCCACGCAGTTTCACCCGCTGCTTGGCTCCTATTGATCGCAGCGTGATGTTTTAAATAAATAGACTCTCAATCTCATACATAAAGATTTATTCAATTTGACCCAGTAGTTCCGTAGATTAGTGCAGTCCAACAAACAAACAAACTCTTTAGCTTTATCTATATAAATAAAAATGAATTTCCGTTCGTTAGTCTCGCTAAAACTGGGGAATGGCTGCACCGATTTGGCCAATTTAGGTATTGAAGTGTTCGAGGAAGTCCAAGAAAACTTTAATCTGTCGTGTGTCTAAGACGTCGATCCACGCGAGACACAATACATTTTCTATATACATTTTCTAAAAATACTGTTTGGTGGCACAAAGTTAGCCTGGTCAGCTAGTAATAAATAGTTGAAACAAAATATTCCAAGAATCCGACATGTCACAAAGAAATCAATACAATATATTATACTAATTTATCAAACCATTATGAACCTCGTAGTCGGTAGGTACTCATAGATAATTACATCGCCGCTCATGCAACCTGTAACGCAATCATGACAGTCATAATGCCACACATTAACATGCACGGAAACTTTAATAAGCAGATCAATATAAAATGAGTTTGTAACTCCTTACTCCACCCATGGAAAACTGGCAATATCTACAAGGACATGGTACTACTTGCGCCGTGTGACCTTACACTTAGAATAATTGTATTATAATTATAAAATGAATTCAAGCTGTTTGGAAAGCACCCACGTGTGACTGAACACAGTACCTCCCTACGATAATGCCATAGCCACTAAATACACAAGCTAAACAAACTGTAGCCTCCCAACTTGACGACCCATTGGTCGTCATCCATCATTATGGTTCACCTTATAGATCGATGGTGACATCAGTTTTAAAATATTATCAGTATTCTTACAAGTTACTTTTAATTCATTTAAATGTAATTAAAATTAAAAATCGAAGTTCTATTCAATTGGTATGCTCTCTAAGTCTTTACTCCGAGCTAAATGATTTGCTTACACTTAATAAAGTCAAATAATAGTTTAACTCGCAGCCCACGGATCAGAACGAGGGTAGTCCCATGGGGTTATTCTTGCTCTATTATCGCGTTTTTTGGAGCTCACAGACTTCGTGCGTTCTACTTGCCTGTCTGTACTTATATAATTAAATACTTTGGCAGTTTGTTTTTTTAAGTAAACACTTGGACCGTAAAAAGTCTTCCAATTGGTTTTTAATTCTTGTTAGGTACGCCGGCCGTTTTCGCTAAATAAAAAATCTACCCGCCTAACTTATTCGCTAGTAACTTTTTATGAAACTGAAGGTGCCTACGTAATCTCGACTTGAATTGAATCACAATATTAAATATGCAGGTACGAATTGGGTTTTCCGTTTAGGAAAGAATTCACATGCAGGTACGATGACCTGGATCGTCAGAGGTGGCCAACAATTAGAATTAGAGGAGTGCGGGCGGGCGGGCGCGTTGGGCGGGTTGGGCGGCCGCGGCGGTGGCGGTGGCGGCGGTGG